TTTCTGACTTTTAAGAGCATAGATTAGTTGTATTTTTTGCATTTTATATAAATGGAATCGCACGGTATGTGCTCTTTTTCAGAGTTCTTTATTATAGAAAACTCACACACATACCACACACACACACACACACACACACACAACTGTCCAAAAAATAAAGCAATGGTTAACTACAATAGAAATTATAAGTATATTTAAGTAATGGACTAGAATTTGATCATTAAAATTATGTTTTGGGGTCTTATTTTGTGCCATGGAAGATGTTTCCAATAGTTAACAGGAAAAAAAGCAGAATATAAAACTGTATATAAGTTTATTGGCAATTAAAATAGATACATTAATAATTAATAACAACAGCAGTTGACATTTGTTGGACACTCACCAGGAACCAGGCAGTGTCCTATTACATCACTCGCTCAGGTCTCTCCAAGCCCTCTGAGGTGGAGCCTCTATCACTAGCCCCATTTTTCAGAGCAGTAAATGGAGGTACCAGGCTTGGGCAGCATGACAAGGCCACACAGAGGGGTGGACGTGGTGAAGTCAGACTTAGAACAAAGCCAGCCTGGCTCTTAGGCATGTCACAACACTATGACAAAATGCAGACGGGGGTCATCCCCGGGTGCCAGCACTAGGGGGAGAAAGTCTGCCAACCACCGCAAAGCCTCCCAGGGCTTCTCTCATCAGAACCCGAATCCTCTGCAGAGGGGCATGATGGGGGGTGGGTCACAAATGCGTGGCATCTGATGCCCCAGAGACGCTGCCTGCGAATTCCTGGCACCTGGGAAAGGCTCTGTCCCCAGCCTGATGAGGTCTGGCCGATTCAGCGTTTTCTTCTGTTGAGTGAGCTGACCGCCTTGCGGTCAATTCCTTTTCCACTCAATCAAATCAGAGTGGATTCCTCTATGCTCTGACACAGGTTCATCCAAGGGAGTGAAGGGGAGGTGAGAAGCGTGGTGCAGGGAGGTCCCGGCACGGCAGAGGGGCAGAAGAGTAACCTGGGGAGGAGACAGAACAGGAGAGACAGCGAGGATGGCCCTGAATGCTGGGACCTCCGAAGCTGGGAGGGGACCGAGTTAAGGAGGCCACGTCCAGTGTAGGTGGTGCACAGAACTCGAGCAACGTTAAGAACTGAGAAAGGGGCCGCTGGATTCAGCAGCAAGGAAGCCTCTCCTGCCCGTGGCCACAAGCACTTCAGCGCGGATGGAAGTCTGGTTGAAGAATGAGAATCAAAGGGGAAGAGACATTGACTGTGGTTCTAAAGGGGAGATAAGGACAGGTGTTTAAGGGAAGTCCAGGTAGAAAGGGGCTTTGTGGATTTGGCTTTTATGGGTTGTTTTTTGTTTTCTTTTTTTTTTTTTTAATATGGGAGAAGACACATGGTGTGTTTACATGTACAGAAAAAATAGTGTGTTTCCCGAGAAGGTACGAGAGACAGGCACCAAAGTGACATTATGCTGGGGGCTGGTCTCGGAGGGAAGACCCTCTGAGGAGGAAAAAGGGGAAGAGAATGGCTGCAGAAGACAGGCAAAGACGAAAGGATGAAGAACAAGATCTCCAGTGGTGTCTGTGGACACACCGAAAAAAAGTGCACTTGTTTTTGTGTGAAACCTTTTCCTTTTCCCTCAAGCAGAGTAAGATGCTCATGAATTATAGGTAAATGTCAACACTTGAGAGGGCAGACCGGGTCAGAGCACAGGCAGGGCAAGGAAAGAATTCTCGGGAGTCAAGGCTGAGCCAGGAATCCTTGACACAGCAGCTCAAATGTATCAACAGAGTAAGCTGAAGACTCTTTATCGAGACACAGCTTCATTCAAATTAAAAAAAAAAAAAACAAACCCCGCCATTGTGAAGTTGGCAGCTAAGTATGACAGCCTCGAGGCTTTAGCTCAACAGCTTCAGAGCAGGACTTTTTAAAATCTGCTGCTCTTGTTTTGCGTAGGGAAGACAGGGACAGGATTCAAAAATCAGAACACAAGGTCCAGGCAAAGAAGTCTGGCTGCCCCCGCCCCACCATTCTCTGACCTGCTTCTCTTGCTGTCCTGTACATATTTTCATTCTTTATTCAGACAGAAATAATACAAATAAATACTCTTAGCTTGCATCTTTTCTTCTTTCCTTCCTTCTTCCCTATGTCTCCGTTTCTTTCTTTCCTTTCCTTCCTTCCTTCCTTTCCCTTTCTTTTACCGCCTGCATCTTGGAGGGCTGTCCTAGGTCCACAGAGAGCTTCCCGTTTTCAGCACCTAGCACCCCTGCACGTGGCTGCCCCGCAGTTTGTGTCTAGTCTGTGCAGATGGACACCTGGGTTGTTTCCATACTTTTGCTTTTAACAACCAATGCTGCAATAGCTAACCTTTACACAAGTCACTGCATAGAAGTACAGATGTCATCTGCATGGTGGGGTTGCTAGATTTGTCACTTTAATACTGTCATCCTGCAATCCCTCCAGCAATATCTGAGACAGCCTGTTGCTTACTGCCCCCATGGCCTACCTCCAACCCCACCCCATGTGCTGTCAAACTTTGGGATTGCTGCCAACCAGAGGTTAAAATTGGTGTCTCTGTGCACTTTTAATAAGCATTAATCTTTTGCAAGTTAAAACTGAGCATTTTTTCATGTTTGTCATTTGAATTTCTTTTTCTGTGAACCATCTGTTTATATCCTTGGCTCCTTTTCTGTTTTGCTGCTGCAGAAGTTCTTAACCAGGGGTCTTTTTCAGAGGGTCTTGTGACTCAGATAAGGTTAAGAATTAAGGGATAAAAAGAACAGTCACCCTAATCCAATACATATCTTGTTATACTTAAGAGGATTTTTTTTTAAGTTTTAAAAACATTTATTGAAATTTAATACATATACAGAAAAATGTACTTATACTATGTCACAGCTTGATGAATCTTCACAAACTGAACACACTCCTATAATCGACATGAGATGAAGAAACAGAATTACCAGCACACCAGGAAATAAGTAATCCTTCTCAATAAATAATCCCTCTGGTCCTCACCATTCACAGACTCTTTTCTTCTGTAGTTTCATTGCTTGATTCTATTTCTTGACCTTAATACCTTCCTTATGTCATCAGTTTCCATGACAAAGCTGAATGAAATTTGATCAAGAAGGCAAGTGATTCACAACTCTGTCTTCAACAGTTCTGAAAACCCACTCTACTCTGTAAAAGTTTTATCAAAATTACGGAAGCGACGATCTTAGGGCTCCCCCTGCTGCTGCTAAGTCGCTTCAGTCGTGTCTGACTCTGTGCAAGCCCAGAGATGGCAGCCCACCAGGCTCCTTTGTCCATGGGATTTTCCAGGCAAGAGTACTGGAGTGGGGGTGCCATTGCCTTCTCCGCTGGTGACCAGGAGTTACCAGGAAAAGCCTCCCGTGTCCTCTCCAGGCTCTCTGGGACTCGAGTCACTGGAGACTTACTGTGAACCAGTGCACAGGAGTGTCAAGTACAAGTTGTCACTTACCTCTACAAGGATTAAATTGTGTACTGTTGCTGCTGATGATTTCAACACCCCCTGAAAGGAGTTCAGGGTGGAGAGCAGAAATGAGGCACTCTGCTCTGGGAAAAACTGGCAGAACAGGTCTTCAGATAGTTGGACACTTTCAAGGAGCCCGCTTTATGAGCCCAATTCCTGTATCTCTTCAAATCTAGAAAAGCACTAAAATCCTTCATGGTGACAACTACTCCTCATGATTACCAAAAATTTTCTGCAAAAAGTATGCACTCTATTGCATGTACACCAAAATCACATATATACTGACCTTCCCCCTGCCTCCCTGAGCCATTTCCCAGAGCTGTCTGAAATAGTGTCTCTTGGGCTGTAGTCCTCATTTTGCTTCAAATAAAACTTAACTCACAACTCTCCTGCTGTGCATTTTTTTGTCAGCAGAGGGATACAGTGAGGTCACTTAGCAAGGCAACTGGAAGTCCCCTTTCCCTTCCCATTCCCTCAGCCAACATCTGAGGAAGGCAACTATCAACTAATGGACCACAACAGCTTTGGGGGCTATGAATAGAATGACAGGAAAGCGCAGTTAATCTCTGCTTCCCCACCTCTTGCCTATTCCTCCCCAAACAAGGGACTGTTGTGAAGGGCCCTGCTGACTAATATTAACTTATCAAAGGAGCCAACAGCCCCAGTTCCGGGTCTCAAACCCAGCGGGCAAATAATTATTTACTGAGCAAGATGATGGATTGATCAACTGGCAGGCTCTCCACTCACCCAGTAGATTCTGTAGCGTGCTCTGTGCCAGGTACCCTGGGCACATGATGCAATCCCACAGACGATGGGCAAGCGTGAGGGCCAGGGGAACACCAGGTGTAGGGACATTTAAGCTACATGCCCCCAGGGGCAAGAGAGCCTGGGGTGGGGGGATGGCGGAAAGCTGGAGGAGGAAATATGCTTCTGGCTCCCTGGAAGCTTAGAATCTAGTTAGAGACACAAGAAATGTATGAATAAAAGGCTAAAAAAACTAACTTGAGGTGGTGCGTGGAGTTGAGAAACGTCACCTGGGACTCCAAGCACCTCATTTTGGAGCCTGGAGACGGAGAGGGGCCCGGGGCTGACAAAGCTGCCAGGGGGGAGACAGAGGAGCCAGAGGCCCTTCAGTTGCTGGGGGGGGGGGGNGGGGGGGGGAGGGCAAAAAAATAAAAAGGATGTCCAGGAAGCCAAGAGGCCAGAGTGGGATCCCAGGGAGGAAAAGGCAGGGAGGGTCACCACCACTCAGGACATGTCCTTAGGGCTGCGGGTCCAAGAACTCTGCCATGTCAGGGGCCCCAGAGCTGAACAAATTCAAGGATGTGGACTCAATGAATACTGGCTGGTGACCTAGAGATCTGATGCCAGTTTATTCACGTACAAAAGAAAGATACCTTCCCCACAACTGGAACGCTTATCGCTTGCCTCCCAGGGTTCCCCCCACCTTTAAAAAAAAAAAATTGGCTGTGAATGGCAACCCACTCCAGTGTTCCTGCCTGGAGAATCCCATGGACAGCGGAGCCTGGTGGGCTGCGGCCCATGGAGTCACAAGAGTTGAACAAGACTTAGTGTTTAAACCACCACCACCACGAAGTCTTAGCACTGGAATTCCAAGGGAGTAACCCCCTGCCCCACTTGTTTCTCTCCTCCTGATAGTTCCCACCTCTCCGGGGGGTGGGGCTTGCCCTCCCTATGGCTTCATCAGCCACCTGCATGCTGGCTTTACAATCTCTTTCCAGTCCAAACCTCTCACTTCAACTTCACACCCGTGTCTCTTCCTGGTCCTTGGACACCTCCATGTGGCTGCCTCCAAAATCTCTCAAGGTCAATGTATCTAAACTGAACTCATCATTTAGAAGTATTAGATCACAGGAAGGCACAGCCCATGTGAGAGCAGACTCACATTCAAATTCCAAATCCAACACTCACCAGCTGTGTGACCTCAGGCACAAGTTACTTAGCTTCTCTTGGCTTCAGTTTCCTCATCTGGAAAATGAAGATGATAAGGATAATCACATAGGACCACTGTGAGAATTTAAATCAGTCTTCTAACACATAAGGAAAGCTAAAGAAGTACCAGCTTTTATTGTGATCTTCTACTTAATTGTGGTTCTTCATCTGTCCCCTCTCAACTGGATTCAACAGTGACACTAGAAACAGGCAACAGGAACTTCCCAGGGAGTACAGTGGTTAAGACATCACACTTCCAATGCAGAGATGAGAGGATGTGGACTTGATCCCTGGTCAAGGAACTAAGATCCCACATGCTGTGCTGTGTGGCGTGGCCAAAAAAAGAGAGAGAAATAGACAATACCCATTCAGTTGCTCAAACCAGAAAGCCAATTGTTATTGTTGACTTCCTCTCCCTGCCCCTACTGGTCCCATGCAACTTCTCATTTTTTGAAAATCAAGTTTTGATTTTAAAATTAAAAAAAATTTATTTTATCAAAAGTTATCTTCCTATATAAATTGTTTCTGCAGTATAATTTGATGGAGTTAAGTCTCCTCTATTCAATCACTTTCCTGGAGAAGGAAATGGCAACCCACTCCAGTATACGTGCCAGGATAATCCCATGGACCAAGCGGAGCCTGGTTGGCTGGAGTCCATGTGGTGGCAGAGTTGAATACACCGAGCAGTTGAGCACACACGCACGTTTTCCACGCTTTCCATCACTTGTAAGATTCTTCTAACAAGAAGGAAATCAGCTGTTGAAGGCATTTTACAGCTACCTTAGCTTTCTGATGGGCTTCCCTAGTGGCTCAAAGTGAAGAGTCTGCCTGTGATGCAGGAGACATGGATTCAGTCCCTGGGTTGAGAGGATGCCCTGGAGAAGGAAATGACTACCCACTCCAGTACTCTTGCCTGGAGGATTCCATGGACAGAGGAGCCTGGCATACTACAGTCCATGGGGTTGCAGAGTTGGGCACGACTGAGCGAATAACTTTCATTTCATAGATTCTGATTAGATGGCATTACTATGTGTGTTAATACCAGGTCAATTTCCTGAACATAGTCTCCACATAAGTTCAGGGCCTTTTCTATGGCTAGAAAGATCCTGTGTTCCTGATGTACGTGGCAGACTGGGATTCTCAGTCTCAAAACACTCAGGTCACGTGTTTTGTGGCTTCTCCCTCATTCTAAGTCAGGAGGTACCACACAGTGAGTTAGGCCTATAACTAATGACTTGAAATTTCAGGCCACATCACTGAGGTATGAGCTAACAGACTTTATTTCCTAGAGGCTCTCACCTTCCAAATCCTCCCCGAGAAGTGAGCTACATCCTCAGAAAGCATCCAACTTTATGATAGAGATATGCTTACCTAAAACAAAGCATTTAAAACCACTTTTTAGTATTTTAATGCCATATGGCTATAAATAAGGTAAAATGAAGATTTCATCAAAACTGTATGGAGCACCTACTAACCTCCAGGATCTGTCTTAGGATTTGGGAATTCAATTCATCTAGATATAGTCCTAGTCCTCAAGAATGTGTGGTTTTATCTGAAGCAGTATTTTCAAATGACAGCTTAAGAACACATCTTTGGTCATGATGAAATTCACTTGGGAAATTCACTGAGGGGGAAAAAATGCATATTTTCCTGTTTCTTTTTTTTTAAATAATTTTGGCCACATGAGGCAACTAGAGGTATTACAGTTCCCTGACCAAAGACAAAACCCTGGCCATAGCAGTGAAATGCCAAATCCTAACCACTAGACCACCAGGGATACTTTCCTGTTTCTTAATCTTTTCTAAGAGATGTTGAGAGATGTGCAGCAGTGGATGGCCAAGCTTTTGAGACTGTTTCAATCCTTATTTTGTCACTTTCTAGCACTGTATGACACAGAAACATGGGTGACAGAACAAGTTATGAGTCCCAGTTATCCTCATCTGTAAAATGGGCAAAAATCACAAGAATATTAAATGTGCAAACATGTGCATAGCTGTTGCATAGTGGAGGACAGTCATTATTAGCATTATTAGGCTTGATGTTGGAAGTTTGAAATTAACAGGCATTTTTCATCCGTTGTCAGTTACTGAGCCTCTCCTACTAACAAGGAGATTTAGAATGTTTTACCCAGCAACCATGGCAGGATTTAACCACCTTATCCAGTGACCTGTACACGGGTCAGGCCTTCCAAGATCTAGCTGTAGGTAGGTTAAAGACACATTTTCAGCAGCCTATCTAGTTAGGTGATTATAGCTAAGGTATTGGGGAGTGGGAGGGTCCAGTTTTGGTTCCGGTGACAACTTCACATAAAGGTTGGGCAAGGACCAATTTTAGCCCATTCTATTGAGGAGAATCATCTTTTCCCATACAGCGCTGACAGGTGCTCTGAGAGGTGCAGTGAACTCCGCAGAACCACTCTTCCTGTTGGAGGGAGTGGCAGCTGAGGGGAAGCCCACCCCTTCTCAGCCTGTTATGAGTCATACAAATAGACAAGATACCTAAAAATCACCTACTTAGGTGACCTGCCCAAACCTTTTTGCAAAATTTAGTATGCATGTTACGTCTTTTTGTCGAGAGGGTCTACAGATCTCCCCAGATTCTCAAAGGAGTCCATGCCTGGAAAACAAAAACAAAACAACAACAACAACAAAAAACGAGATTCGCTGAAATAGTCCGAAGGGAGAAACTGAGGCCCAGAGATGAAAAAGCGAGTTGCCTCAAGTCGAACAACAGGGATATACTAAAACAAAGGCATTTCAGTTCCGATTCTGGTGTTACGTTCACAGTTCTGACCCTGTCGAATAGCTCCTTGCTTTCTCTGCAGCTCTAGAAGATTCCTTGGGACGCGAGGGCTCTTGTCGGAGTTCTGGAGATGTCGCAGGAAGTTCAATTCGGGCGTCGAGGGGGCTCTTGCCAATCGCTCAGACGGGGTCCATTGCCGTGAAGATCCCCACCATCATGGCCTCACCTCAAGGAATCCCGCAGCCTTGTCGACTCCAGGTACGGCTCAAGACACCAGGAGACCCGAAGTTGAGGCGGCTGGCTGGTGAAGCACGGCCACTCACTCACCTGACCAAGGGGAGGAAGCGGGCAAGCCCCCAAATCCCAGCCCCAGCGAACCCTTCGCGGAGGGAGGAGCCAGTGAAGAGAATAACAGGAAATGACGTCAGGCGCACGTGTTTCGTGAGCGGCTGGCGCCAGGCTTTTGAGACGCGCGGCCACGGCCTGGCGCCTGCGCAGCCGCTGCCCCCCGCGTAGCCAAGTGCCCGAGATGGGAGGAGAATGAGAAGGGGGCGGGGCGCGCGCCTGGGAGACGCAGGCGCAGTGCGACTTCGGAGGCGCTGGTCGTCTCTCCGCGGATTTGGATCCGGGTCAGTCAGGCGCTGCGATCCGGGAGAGACGTTCTAAACTGACCGGACTGGCTTACCGGAGCGCCCCTGCTGCGAGAAGGTGAGTATCCTGACGTGACGCGGACGCGCCGCGTCACCGCGTCTGGGCCTCCCGGCCCGGCCTGGTCATGGGCGTCTTCCTCTGGGCCCTCCCGCCTCACGTCGAGCCGCGTCGCCCCCCGGCGCTGGCCGCCTGGGCCGGGCCGTCCGGGCAGGGCCTCCGCCTCTGCGCGTCCCCTCGGCCACTACGGCCTGGCTCTGCCAGAGGCTCTTCTCTCTCGCCCCTTCCCGCCTCCGCGGCCCCCGCCCCGTGCCTCCGCCCTTTCCCGCCGGTGCACAGCTTCCCCTTTTCGCTCTCCTCGGCCGCCCTTTGCCCCTTCCCGCCCTTTCCCTCTGGTTCCCGAGACCTAGTCTCGTTGGCTGCCTCTTCGGCCCTGTTCCCGCCTCCTTCTGGATCCCTCACCCCTTTGGCCCGACGCAGGCCTCTCATCCTGACCGGGGGAGTATCCTCAAGGGGAAACTTTGCAGCGGGAGAGCCCGGGCGGGTTAGAGCGCCGGACAGCTCCCCACTTTCCGAAGCCCCCCAGGCCCTGACCTTTCCCAGCCCCATCTTGTTTAACCACGACCGACCCAGTTTCTGGGTGAAAAGAATTAACGCTGTGCTCTGGCACCGAGGGTGTAGAAGTTGAGTGGGTAGAGAGAGACGTGAACGGCCGATTGTTGCAACTTCGTCTTGTTTGCGTCTTTCAGAGTTGCTGGACAGGATTTTCTTTTCCCCGACTCCACGCTTCCTGCTGGACTGGGAAATTTTCTAAAAGCTTTATTTAACATTGTGATGACACGCTTACGCGTGGATCCTTTATTGATCGTTCTCAGGTCTTTTCAGGGCCCGGGAAATCTGGACCTAGGCTTGTGGTTGTTAAGTGGGCTTGGTTAAAACTGCAAGATATAAATAATATTATGAGATCTACTCTTCGTTTAAAGTTAGAGAAAATTCAGGAATTTGCCCTTTTGATGGAGGAACTTAGAAGAATTTTGTTTTTGTTTTTTTGAAAGGTTAAGGGAATCTCCGAATCCCCGTGTGATTTGACTTTAACTTTAAAAGTTTGACCTTTGCTGGGATTGTTCAATTTCACGAAGATAGTACAGTAAAAATCGGCAAGAACGCCTCCCACAAACTTAATGAAGATAAATCAAGTGTAAGATCCCCGGAGTTGGTTGTGCAGCTCTTGATTTGAGTGAATGGGAAGAGGGAGGAGCATGGTAAAGCCTTTTAAAATTACAAACATGCTACTATTTAGCTGTTAAGGTCATACCTGAGATACACCTTTGCTCTGGGTTAATTTAATTGAGGAAAAAGATGAGTAATCAAAATGCTCCAAGTCTGAAAATAGTTTAGATGGAACTTCATTCCTGGAGTTTCAGTAAGTAGTCAGTCTTATTCTGGCCTGTGGTTTGTAAAAGGGATCTTTTAGTGTCAATAAGAATGTTAGTGGAGTTTGTATTAACATCTGGAGGTCACCTACGGTATATTAAGTTAGCCCTGTATAGTTAAAAGTTTTATATGAGTCCAAAACATCCTAGCACAGTGTTAGGGCAGGAATGGGGTTCATAGTCCTGGTGTCAGGTTCACACTTACATGCCTAAGCATCCAGACTAGTGCTAAAAGTACATCGTAGTGATTCTGTCAATATTTGTGTAAGGAATGGATTTCTGCCCCTATGCATATGTAGATGTGATGTGTGCTGATTTCTAGAGAGGCTGGAAGAGGGATTGTGTGGGGTCCACAGGAGTGGGGAGACTGGTTCAGATGATGTCTGTCTGTGAGGGCCAGTGTTTGACTGGTCATAAAGTAATTGAGGAAAACTAATAAATAAAAACTTTATTTTAGTTCTGCCAGCAGGAGGAATTTGTTTACAGCCTACAGATAGCACCGTTTTAGATGCTGTGGAGCTTCAAAAATAAGAGAATATCTGATCTTGGGTCACCCCTTTCCCCAGGTGTATATATATATATGTAGGATGTTATTGTGTATCTGGGAGAGGAGCCGCCTCTAAATCTAGAACTGAATTAGGAGCTAGTGAAACACGGAATCGACACTGTTTCTTCTAGTTAAATAAACGAGCAAAACATATGTGGGGAATGTATTTCAATATTTTGTTTTAAGAAGTTGAGGTGAAAACTAGATGAATTCTTTTGAGACTGTTTTCAATGTTCTCAGAGAAGTCTACTTAAAATACCTTTTACACATAAATAAAACAAATAGTCTTGATTCCTTGCTTCCTAATTCAGCCTCTGGTACTGCATGGTTACATTATCAAACATATCATGACACTCTGACCTTTAGAATATTAGAGATCTCACAATAACATCAAACTCACCCCTGAGAAATGAGGAGATATAGAATCAATGAGGCTCCAAAGATCTAGGCACTGCTCACTGGGAGAGTGCCCAAGGAGGGGTGGGGGTGGAGGGATGGGGTAGCAGGTTAGAAATAGAGAAGGTGAATGCTTAAAAAATTCCTCATTTTATTATTTTTTTGTTTTACTTTTTCTTTCTGATTTCCAGTAATATGTTTATAGAAACTCATGTGTTTTTCATTCCGATTTGATATCAGGAAATTTTTTACCCTAAAAGTAAAAAAAAAAATGGTGAGATTAGAGTCAGTGAATTGATTAACTTCTCTATTGTATCTTTTGTTGTTTTGGTTTGTCTCCCCCCCGCCCCCACCTTTTTGGTTTAAATATAAAAATCAGGGTGGGAGAAATGGAGAACTTTGGTTAATCAAACTAGTTGATTAGGTGGAGATCATTTAAAGGCGTATCTGTAGAACAATTTCAATTTTTTCCTTCCTATCTTTTTAGCTACCTTTAAGATTTTGAGTTACAAGTATAGTTCATCTATTTTTGTGAGAAAGTATTAGAAGCTAAAGAAAGCAAAGGTATCAGTCTTATAGATGTGTGCGGAGTAGTCAGTATCACTGAAACATATTTGTAATCCTGCCTTGATAGTGGTAACAATTTGATACCTATCTGTATGAATATTAATACAAGTATAAATATTGATATCTGCTTCAGGATTGCCTTAGAGAAATGCTGTCATGTGTCATGTAGTTACTCTTATCTGAAATGTTTAGAGTTAGATGAGACAAATACTCAATAGCGGGTTTTTTTGTTGTTTAAAAATTTTTGTTGAAGTATATATAGTTGATTTACAATATTGTATTAGTTTCAAGTACACAGGAAAGTGAATGTTTGCATATATATATATATATATATACACACACACTTTTTAAGAGTAGCATTTTAAAGATCAGAGTCTTGTAGGCTAAGCTTTTCCCTTTTATTTCCAATGCAGTGATCATCTTTTCTGTAGGTTTCTAGACTTCTACAACTGGAGAGATTTCCCTTCCTGTTAAAAAGTATACTGAAACACAGATTTTAGGTAATGTGAAAAAGCTGTGAAACAGGATATTGGCATCAAGTATTTGGACAATTTAAATACCATCGTAATAAACACATGTTTTCTATATCATTTCATTTGTCTCCTCATAAAAAATAAAACCTGCAGTTTCCTAATCATTGAAACTTCCTTTTAGAAATAGAAATTTGCACTTTATCCCACTAAGAAGCAATGGTAGTATCAGGAATACAGATTTTAACCTGTTTTCACTTTGCTCATTTAATTTTTCTTTTTTTTAGTATTAACGGGAACATCCATAGTAGTATAAAAACTTTCACAATGAAATCGGAAGCCAAGGATGGAGAGGAGGAGAGTCTACAAACTGCTTTCAAGAAACTAAGAGTGGATGCATCAGGGTAATTAAATATGAAGTATATTATTGGGGTATTGTTTACTAGATTTAAATAGACATTTCCTCAGAGGAGCTCTTTCTCTTCTAAAGTTTCTTTTTATTTGTAGGAAGTATAAAATGTTAATAGTGTGATATTTTACCAAATTCTGTATAACATTGTTCTAAAAGAAACTCTTCTGTTAAATTTTGAGAAGTAGCTGCTCATTTGTATTCCAAGGTTGGCAATTATCCTTAACTTTGGAAGAGTACCACTTTCCCTGCCCCCTGCCTCTTTTTAATCACACATTAGCAGTCAGTGTCCCATCAGAGAGTTCCTCCTACACCTCTAGGGAATCACAGTATTTTTCACTGAAAGTGAGTTGGTTCAGTAGGAATCTCTGCAGACATTGTTGATTTCATGGGCTCTTATCGCTGAGCCTATCACTATGGAAACCTCTATTCATTAGGGTTCTGTCACTGAGATCAATAGTCTTGGACCCTTTGGCCAAACTAATTAGAGCACCTGCAGACCAGCTGCTGTCTGAATGTTAATATTTCACCCTTTGCAAAATGTTCTATACAGGACTCTTCACCCCCTTTCTTTGCCCCAGGCCAGAAGATAATCTTAAATTTTAATGGATATAACAATATTTCATTTCATGAATGGAAACCCAGCACTCAGCAAGACGCAATAATGACTATTAAAATTTATTACTCATTTTACTATGCCCTCAACACTGACTGAAGTACTCTGTACATATCATCTAATCCTCACTACCAACTTAGAAGATAGACAGTACAGAGTATACTGTATAGTTTACAGAGGAGCTACAGATGAATTGTCTTGTAAAAGGTCACATTGGTAAGACGTGGTAGAGCCAGAATTGGAACCCAGATAATTTTTCTCCAGAACCTCTGCTCTTAACCATTCCTTTTTATGGTACCTTGAAGACAACATGAAGAAATGCATTCAGTACCTGGCGCATAGTAAAATTACATAGATGTTAGTTGTTACAGCTGTCTGCCTATTGCTAATACTGTTTTTGGCCTACCAAATGAGAAAATTTATACTCATAGATTTGCACAGTAGCTGTTACAGGTGCTGACATTCATTTCCATGATACTGCAAATAAGTATCTTCTAGTGATTTTGCCAGTACAGTCATCTTGCTGTTAGAATTGATTAGTATTTGCTATTTGGGGAAGCAGAAACAAAGCAGAGGAACACATAGTTCCAGACTCTAGTCATGGTGTGATTTCTGGTATAGACATGCAACTTTTAATCAGGAAAATACTTATAAATGCACAGGTATATGTAAATCCCTTAGTGTATAAATTTACTTAGCTCTTGATACACAGACTGTTTTCCTGGTTATTTTCCTTGGAACATAAAATTAAGCTATTTCTGTGCCCCTAAAAATTACTTGGAACATAAAATCTTTCAAAATACTCTGTGGTTTATGGTCCGATATTACGTATTCGTAGCTTGCAATCTACTATGTGTAAAATTACAAAGAGAAGGAGCAGTGGAGAACATCTGAGAAAACCAAGTCAGAGTACGTGGGGTGAGTCATTACTGTGACTAAGCAGAATACGACTTGTATAGTGTATCATACAGTTCTAGTTGGTTGTTTGGAATTGTTGCTGATTTACAAATGGAACATGTGAGGTACTGACTCATAAACTAACCAAGCCTTGCCAAGGAATTTAGTATGATCCTGTTGAACGGGTTTTGGTTCCTAATGGTATTTGTCTTATCAGGATAGACTCTGTATGTTTAATTGCAAAACAATATAGTCCTTTTTTTCAGACTGTATATATATATTTAGCATAATACATGCTTATTATGTATAAATCGTAAAATGGATAAAAAAGTAAAAATCACAACTTACCATTACCACTGTTAGTATCTAAATCATCTGTAATATCACTTTCTTTACACAGTTGAAATCATAATATATGTACAGGTATTCATCCATGCTGTTTTCCCTTAATATTATAAGCATTCTCCCGTGTCATTAAAAGTTCTTTGTACACCTAATTTTTAATAAATTCCTAATATCCCATTGTATACCGAACGACACTAATTTTATATAGTATGGTATTTTCTGTTATTAGACAGAAATAACAATTTAGTTATTGCCAGCTTTTAAATTAATATTTCAGCGAGTGAACATCTTTTTACTTAGTAGACTGTCTCTTTCTATAGGATATTTGTCAGTACTACAGCATGTATAGTAGGAGCCCTGTGTACCTGTGTGTATGTGTGTATTGAAAAAGTCCAGAAGAATTTGATGTTAATGTTGATCTCTGGATTGTGAAATTAGAGTTGATTCTTTTCTCTTTTAAATTTTTTCATCTTCTTTACTGAGAACCCACGTTACTTGTGTAGTTTTAAACTGCAGAGATTTAACTGAGTAATATTTCAGGTTTATTGGTTGTAAAAATCAGAATATTTTTGTATAAGTTGTATAGTATTTGAAAAAGGATTCATTTAGATTGAGTCTCCCAAAGTTAGAGTTTCCTGAAGTTTATCCTCCTGAACTGAAGTTTTCACAGCTCTGTTTTGCCCACATAAAATAAGTGGTCAGTGTCATTAGCATTCTCCCTGGACATAAGGCCTGATCTGCCCCAGATAAACAGTCTATTTATATCCCACTGCTGGTTATACTTAAGAGTCATTCTTTGGCTTACGATTTTGCAACTGTGAACTCTTAGGGATCCTCCAAATTTGGTTTTGGAGGACAGTTTACAGTAAAAGCTGAGCAATTCTTGAGAAAAGCAAACGGCAAAGGCAATGAAGTTATTAACACAAGTTGCATTTGGGTTGGTGAGAGCAGTGTGTTCTCCTTGCGTGGTTTCCTAAGCAGTAAACTCTGTTCTTGTCTTCAGGTCCATGGCATCTCTATCTGTTGGAGAAGGCACGAGTGTCAGAGCGCCAGTCAGAGCAGCAGTAGAGGATGCCAAACCTAAGACCGCGTGTGCATCTAAAGACAGTTGGCATGGGTAAGAACTCCTCCGTGCAGATGGCTTTTATCCCAGCACCTTGGCGTGTTACTGGATTTTCTTTCCTGAAAATTCAAAAGAGGATGTCTTACGATACAGAACCCAAGATGCACCATTAAAGAAGAACCTTTCTTCTCATTGTGAATTTGCTGTATGGCCTGGTCCGTAGTCAGTTTTTATAAGTGTTCTATGTGTGTTTGAGAAGAATGGCTCTCCTCTAATCATTCTTAGGTTTTGTAAATGTCCATTAAAGTAAGCTTTTAAATGTCTTATTTACAGGATCTTTTTTCAAATAATTTTTGTTGTTGTTGTTAGCTTGGCCTATTAATAATTGAGGGTTTGTTGAACTGTCCCCCACTGGAGTACATTTGTTTATTTTCCCTGTAAGTTCTATATTTTTGCTTTATCATTTTGAAGCTGTTTTGTTTATAGCCTAAGTTCATGCCAGTTTAGAATGTTTTCTTCCTGATGAATTGAGACTTTTACTGTATTTAGTGACCTTCTTAATCCCCCATAATGGCTTTTGTCATAAAGTCTGTTTTGTCTGGAATTGATAAAACTAATACAGTTGTCTTTTAGTATTTGCCTAGTGTATTTTTTCTATTTTATTTTCAACCATTTTGTGTTTCAGAATTTTTGGTATGTCTGATATAAATATGTATGGCTTATTTAATTTTACTCAGTCTGATCATCTTTTTTTTTAAACTTACATTTATTTTGATTATTGATATATTTGGATTTGTTCTGTTCTTTTATACTGTTTGTCCTGCCTTTTTTTTTTTTCTATCTTTTATTCCCACTTTCCCTCTTCTCCCCATTTAAAAAATTGTTTGAAATATGTTTGTTTTTCTCCATAACAGTTTTCCTTTCATTGGTTTGGAAATTACATACTTTGTTTCTCTTAGCCCTCCTCCTCAGAACTGTTTTGCTCAGTCTCCTTCTGCCATGTGATGGCCTGGTACTTTAGTTCTGTCACTCATTTTTTGTCTTATCAGTTCAGTTTTATTTACCCTACTTCATTTTATTTAAATTAGAGAGTGTTTGTTTAGATTCATCTCATGTACACTTTATTTACTCTCACCATTGTGGCATCAGACCTTCCATGTAGGATCAATTTTTTCCTAAAGAAGTCTGTTATTTAGTTTAAAAAGGGGAAGTGGGGGCTCTCTGTTAGTTGTCCGTATAGAATGTTTCTCTGAAAATGTCTGTATATCATCCTTTTTCTTGAAAGTTATACCTGATTTAATATACCTGAAATCATGGTCCTAGTTGACAGCTGTTTTCTCTTGGCACTTGAAGATATTGTCTTCTGGCTTCCATGTTGTTGTTGCAAAGCCTACTTTCAGACTTAATTTTTCTTCTTTTGGCAATAATCCATCTAGTCTCTAGTTGCTTTTAAGATGTTCCTGTTGTTTTTGGTATTCTCCAATTGGTTGTCCTGCTTTAGCATGTACTTCTTGTGTTTGTAGATTCTCTTGCATCAATTCAGAAAATTGCTTGGCCATTATCTCTTTCAGATTTGCTTGGCAATTTTGAGCCTTTTTCTCTTTGCACAATTCTTATTAAAGACTTTTTATAAAAATTACATAATGTGCCTGATAATTCCCAATATCTGAAAACTTGAGAGTGTCAAAATCTGTTTTTCAGCTGTTTCCAGTGATAGAAATGAATTCTAAATCTGTCATTCTATTGAACAAGTGACTGTAGCATTAGCGCCCCCCGCAATGGTACTGACACTGCCTTGTTCAGAGCATGGAGCCCAGCACTGAGGTTTTTCTAAGTTGTCTGTGCAAGGTGCTTCCCCAGATCACTGGTTAGAGGTTCCTAAGCCAAGGGTTGGGACAGGGCAGACAGGTCTTCTGCACCAAATGTTTGGTCTGAGAAACATGACTTAAAACTACCCTTCACCAGTCCTATAGTAAGGGTGTGTTGGAGTTTCTGAGATGCACAGACTCAGGCAGCTTGACAATGGAGATGTTCGTACGTCTTTGGGGAGAACTTATTTCCACTCATTCACCAGAGAGGTGGCAATTTCCCAACCATGTTAAAGGATCTCTTTAGAAGAACTCTATATCTTAACATCCTCTTGTGTGTTTTTTCCTCTTAGGTCTACTAGGAAGTCTTCACGCGGAGCAGTGAGAACCCAGCGTCGACGCCGTTCCAAGTCTCCTGTCCTTCATCCTCCAAAGTTCATACATTGCAGTACAATAGCTTCTTCCAGCAGCCAGCTCAAGCACAAAAGCCAGACTGACTCCCCTGATGGCAGCAGTGGGCTGGGAATTTCAACCCCTAAAGAGTTCAATGCAGGAGAATGCTCAACTTCTCTCGATACTAATCACACAGGGGCGGTTGCTGAGCCTTTGAGAGCTTCGGTTCCAAGGCTCCCATCAGAGAGTAAGGAGGAAGATCCCTCTGATGCGCCCCAAGTCTCCCAAGCAAGTCTCCAGGCCAGTGATCTCTCTGACTTTCAATCGGTTTCCAAGCTAAACCTGGGCAAGCCATGTGCATGCATAGGCAAGGAGTGCCAGTGTAAGAGGTGGCATGACATGGAGGTATATTCCTTTTCAGGCCTGCAGAATGTCCCTCCTTTGGCCCCAGAACGAAGATCCACACTTGAGGACTACTCTCAGTCGCTTCACACGAGAACTCTGTCTGGCTCTCCCCGTTCCTGTTCTGAGCAGGCTCGCGTCTATGTGGATGACGTGACCATTGAGGACCTGTCGGGCTACATGGAATATTACTTGTATATCCCCAAGAAAATGTCCCACATGGCAGAAATGATGTACACCTGAGAGTAAGAATCTCCTTCCTATGCTTTAACCAATGAAGGGTTGTCAGAGAGTTAGTTAACAGCAGACCTTGCAGCTACTTTGTGTGAGAAGACATCTCCTTCTGCTCACTGTGCTTGCAATAAAAACTTTTCTTGGCATCTCAGTCAATCTTTGTTCTTTAAACTTTCTGAGCTCTTACATACCCACCAAAGTGAGCAGATCATTTAGAAATGTCCCTGGGGAATGAACAAAAACGGTCATTGCTTGACTGGTAGCAGTGGGTTTATGGTGAAAGCCTTTGAAAGACAGTGCATTTTTCAGATGTGTGTAAGGTTTGGGTGCCAAGGAAAATGAAATGTGGTTTTGTAACTGGACTGAGCATGTGTCATGCTGTAGTTGCCAGCCCGGTGGTGTTAGAAGTCACATGACTGGTTTAAATCATCTGATTTACATGAGATTTATTGTGTCTTTAAAGGTTTCTTATGTTACTGTTAAGCCAGAGATCTGAGGTTTAGGTTCAATATAAATAAACTGGCTGGCCTGCCCTGTATTGTTTGAGAGAATCATTAACCATCACCAAGCAGACCCTTGCTGGTGCTGTTCACCCTGAGACATGTCACATCAAATTTCTTACGTGAGAAGCAGCTTGGAGTGAGCTGCTTCGTTGCGGGAGAGGGGTGTGATGTTTGACACTGCTGTGTATCTGCTCCATCTCTAGCATTCTGGTATATATGGCGTGTTTCAGTCACTTGCAGTATAGACCTCATACCTCAGTTTCAAATGTTCTGGATGGACAGTATCTCTCTGCACTGCCTCCTACCCCAGCAGGCCCCAAAGAGAATTTTATCCATGCCATGTCCTGTAATTAAAGACCGACCAGGCCACTGCTCCCTCCAAAGTTTCATACAAAAGTCTGTCCACAGTTTCCACTGGAGGAAGAACTCTCTTTTCCCGGTGGTTCCAAAGTGAATTTTACATACGGCCATATAAGGCAAGAGTACTGGTTTGCCATTCCCTTCTCTAATTGAATATATCCAGTGAATATACTCCAGTATTCATTGGAAGGACTGATGCTAAAGCTGAAACTCCAATACTTTGGCCACCTGATAACGAAAAACTGACTCATTGGAAAAGACCCTGATGCTGGGAAAGATCAAAGGCAGGAGGAGAGAAGGGGACAACAGAGGATGAGATGGTTGGATGGCATCACTGACTCGATGGACATGAGTTTGAGCAAGCTCCAGAAGTTGGTGATGGGACAGGGAAGCCTGGCGTGCAGTCCATGCGGTCACAAAGTGTTGGACACGACTGAACAACTGAACTGAACTGAATCTAGGCCATTAGCACTTCTGGTTATAAAGGCACCTATGGCCCCTCCCCCCACCCACTCCCCAACTTACACAGCTAGTGTTCTGCTTTACCTTTTTTACTAGAAAGAAGTGGAGCAAGTTGAGCTGAACATGTTACTTGAATTAAAATAGTTCCTAAGTCTGTTAAGTCTTTTAAGGTTTTAGTTTGCTTTTCAAAGCAGCCGTCCAATTATTAATTCTGTATATTAACAGAACAGTCACAGGAGAAGGGTGAGTGATGACTGTTTCTTTTATTCAGAGTTGTTAGTAGAGTCCGAAGAAAAGGACCCAGTTCCAATGGCTGAGTAACCTGTTGGAGAAATCCACACTTGGACAAAAGCTGGGCAACCCCAGATTTGCAGGAATGAGTTGTAAGATTTACATCTCAGTCAGAATCTTGCTTTAAACATAAATCTTGGAAGTCCAAGATCACTCCACTCAAAACCCAGTTGGTCCAGCTTTAATATGTGTCCCTAATTGGAACAGTTAACCATTTGTGAGTCCAACTTACGGGACCAATGTTTGTCAGATGCATCCTGGAAAACATTCAAATTGTGGTTTGAGGGATTTTTACTCTGATGTTTTGGGAGGTAGCATCCTGATGTGTAACTTCATTGAACATTCATTCAACAAATCTTTACTGAGTGCTGACAACACAGTCACGCTATACTAGGTGCTGGGAACAGGACATCATCTTATCCTTGGTGGAGAAGATGCTATGGAGAGAGAAGGATTAGGAAACAGCAAGGGCTAGGGCAGGGAGAGGGCTTGCTGTTTCACTTGGGGGTAGTCAGAGAAGCTTCTGTGAGGAGGTGACATTTGAGCTGAGACCTGAAGATAACAAGAGTGAGCCATGTGGATATTTGGGGGAAGAGCATTCCTGGCAGCATTCCTTGAAGCAGGTGAGGTCACAGAAGCATGGGTCACAGGCAGATCATGGAGACTCGTGGGCCGTTTTAAAGCTGATTTGTGAGGAGACAGGGAGCCTTTGAGAGGGTTTGGAGGACAGGAGAGACGTCAGACTTGCCTTTTATAAAGAGCACTGGCTGCTCTGTAGACTAGGGAGCTAGGAAAAGGAAAGGAGGGAGGCAGTCAGGAGGCTACTGCAGTGAATCAGACAATGGTTTCAAGTGGCTCAGACCCTTGGCAGTGCAGGAGAGAAGACCTATTCTGGAATTATTTTGAAGGTCGAGCTAAAGGGATTTGCTGATGGATATAAGGTGTGATGGATATGAGGATATGGGCTTCTCAGGGGGTGCTTGTGGTAAAGAGTGAGTGAGTGAAAGTCGCTCAGTCGTGTCTGACTCTGCGACCCCCTGCTCTGTAACCCGCCAGGCTCCTCTGTCCATGGGGATTCTCCAGGAAAGAATACTGGAGTGGGTTGCCGTTGCCTTCAGGGGATCTTCCCAACCCAGAATCAAACTCAGGTCTCCTGCATTACAGGCGGATCCTTCACCATCTGAGCCACCAGGGAAGTTCAGTGGTAAAGAACCCACCTGCCAGTGCAGGAGATACAAGAGCCATGGATTTGATCCCTAAGTCAGGAAGATCCCCTGGAGGAGGGAATGGTAACCCACTCCACTATTCTTGTCTGGAAAATCCCATGAACAGAAGCGCCTGGCAGACTTAAGTCCAAGGGTCTCAAAGAGTCAGACACGACTGAAGCAATTTAGCATGTGTGCACATAAGGTGTGAGAGAAGGATTGAAATTAAGGATGATTCCCAAGGTTTAATACAGTGGGAGGTGGCTGGAGGAGCAGATTTGGGAGGAGACTTTGGGAGTTTTTTGATATCGTGTAGAGAGGCTGAGTCGGTGGTTGGATATACAACTGAAGATCGGGAGCGGGACAGGTTGGAGATCCAACGTTAGGAGCCATCAGGGTGTGGGTGTTACTGAAAACTCTACTGCCAAAGGAGATCACCTAAAGAGTAAATGTAGGTATACAGTAAGAGGACCAAGCTCTGGGCCAATTTCCAAAGTCTAGAGCGCAGGGCGATGAGGAGGAACCTGCAGAAGACTAGTGTGGGAGCCGCCAATGAGGCAGGACAGAACCAAGAGACAAGCCCTAGGAGCAGACCGAAAAAGCATCTCAAGCAGGGAGTTGTCAGCTGCCAAATCAGAAGGAAAGATGAGGGCACGTCGTTTGTGCGGGTGCTGGGCTGCTTTTTTTTTTTTTGGAAGGAATGAAGGTAGTCTTTGCTTCAGACAGCTCATAGGTGGGGGAAGGAGTCAGCGTGTGGGAAGGCACATAACCCAGCCAGATCACTTGTCTGGGGAAGTGAGGCTTCTTTAACTAAGTCTTCGGTGCTGAGAAGGAACGTGAGACCAGAGTAGATTTCTGTGTGCATTCCTTCTCTCTGTTCTGGATTTTTAGTCCCTTCCTCTCCTCCCTCCCTAGGAAGCAGTCATGCCAGAGAAGTCGAGGAGACAAGGGAAGCAGGTGACTGCGCCTTCTGACCAAAGGACAACCCTGTGGAGTGAGAAAAACCTGTGAAAAAGAGAGAATGGGATAGCTACTTTTAAAAGCAATTTAAAATTCGTTCCAAGTTTAGTATATGTTTCAAATGGGGAACTTGGTTTTTCTAAGAAAAATCTGTTGTAATGCAATATGGCCACAAGGGGTCTCCCTTTCCCTGAAACGCACTGGTTTAAAGGGAGAGGCAAAGAAGTGATGGCTGGTCAGGTAAGGCCGGTACCAAATTTGGCAAAAATTTACTGAAACTCTGGCTGTGCTGCATGGCCTGTGGGATCTTAGTTTCCCGACCAGGGATTGACCCCATGCTCCCTGCGCTGGAGGTGCAGCATCTTTACTGGACCGCCAGAGAAGTCCTCACTTAAACTATCAGGAAATCAGTGTCCCTTTGCCAATAATATAATTTATCACTTTGAAAAGGGGAAAACCACAGGGCAATGTTCAGTAAATACATATTGGGAAGAGTAAGGAGTGCTTCAGTGTTAAGGTACTTAGTATTTAGGGGGTGATTCTTCCCTTTGGTGATAATTTTATTAAGCATGATAGTGTGAAAAGCAACTTTTTAAAAAAATTTGTTTTATTTTATTCAAGTATAGTTGATTTACAACATTGTGTTAATTTCTGCCTTACAGCACAGTGATTCAGTTATACGTACACATGCATTCTTTTTCATATTCTTTTCCATTATGGTCCATCACAAAATATTGAATATAGTTCCCTGTGCTACAGTAGGACTCTATATATAATAGTTTGTATCTGCTAATCTCAAACTCCCACCACATCCCTCCCTCATCCTGCCTGCTACCTTGACAACCATGAGTTTATTCTCTATGTCTGTGAGTCTGTTTCTGTTTCATAGATGACTTCATTTTTTGTCATATTTTAGATTCCACACATAAGTGATATCATGTGGTATTTGTCTTTCTCTTTCTGACCTACTACACTTACTAAGTGATAATTTCTAGGTTCATCAATGTTGCCTCAAATGACATTATTTCATTCTTTTTATGGCTGAGTAGTATTCCCTTATGCATATGTACCGCATCTTCTTTATCCATTCACTTGTTGATGGACATTTAGGTTGTGAAAAGCAACCTATCGTGTGAGGGTAATGTTAATAATAGCAAACCTTTATTGGGTATTTAGTGTCTTCTGAGCCATTTTACAGGCTTCCACAGATGGCACTAGTGGTTAAGAAACTGACTGCCAATGCATGTAGAGGTAAGAGACCCAAGGCAGACTGCCCTGGGTTGGGAAGATCCCCTGGAGGAGGATAAGCAACCCGCTCCAGTGTTCCTGCCTGGAGAATCCCATGGACAGAGGAGCCTGGTGGGCTATGGTCCATAGGGTCACAAAGAGTCGGACATGACTGAAGTGACTTAGCATGTGTGCACAAGTCTTTTTACACCATTAACTCACTTAATCCTCATCCAGCCATATAAGGTAGATACTATTATCCTTGAAACAGAATCCTTGGGAGGGATGTTTAAGAGGGAGGGGACATATGTATGTCTATGGCTGATCCATGTTGGTATTTGGCAGAAAACAACAAAATTCTGTAAATCAATTATCCTTCAATTAAAAAATACATAAATAAGAAAAAAAAAACCCTGAGAATCCTATGTGGCTGCTGCTACTAAGTCGCTTCAGTCGTGTCCAACTCTATGCGATCCCATAGACTGCAGCCCACCAGGCTCCTCCATCCATGGGATCTTCCAGGCAATGGTACCGGAGTGGGTTGCCATTTTCTTCTCCGGAGAATCCTTTGAGATAGGTCCTTTTGCAGACAAAGAATTTGTAACTTAGAGAAATTAACAATTAGTCCAAAGCCACACAGCTTGTGAGGGCCAGAACTAGGATCTGAACACAAATCTAGCTCTGTAACTATCTACCCTACACAACAGATGGTAAGTAAGTAAGGGCATGGATCTGTACATTATTAAGAAACTGTTTCTTAATTGAAAACCTACAGTGATTCTTTCCCGGGAATGAGAGTCAGATTTGACCAAGGAGATTTTAAAAAGAATGCAAGTGTCAGAGCCTTCTCCCAGGACATCCAGTAGGTTGGGGAGGGGGTGGGATTCCAGAATCTGTTCACGTTTTTAAGCTCCACAGGTGATTCTTACGTGTACCCATCCTTGGGAGGGAACAAAGAGAGGCTTATGGATGAACAGTTGCTGCACTTGGAACAGCTCACTAGGACACAGAAGCCGGCCACCCAGCCTTAGAACCGGATTATGCCGATTGGCCGGGCATTTAAACTACAAAGGGTGTTGAACTCAGAGTCCTCTGGCTTCCATTTGGAGATGCTCTTTCCTCTCCCCTGGAGAGCAGAGGTGGAAAGAAACGCGTGGCTTTCCAGGGCTGGTCAGAAGTGGCAACAGCAGAGTTCTACGGGGCCAGCACTGAGGTGGTCTCAGCAGTGAACTGGGCGAGCAGGCTGTCAGGCAACCTTCGGGGCAGGGGGCTGGGGTGAGTCAAAGCCCAGATGAGACAGTCTTTACTGCTTTTTGCTGCATGTCTGCTTGGCAAAGAGCTCCGAGGCTGGGTGTTTCTATCAGGGGGTAAAACGGGGGCAGAGAAGCATTTTTTAAGGCAGGGGACTGAAGAAGGAAGGAACCAAGCGGCGATAAGAACCAGGATCAGCTAAGGGTGAAGGGAGAGAGGCTTATCTATCCATTTCCTAAACAAGAACACATCTTTGGTGGTGACTTGGAGTGGCCTAAGTCATCATGGGATTCAGAGTATGACAAATCAGTTTGAAGTCAGATAATAATTATTGAATGTTCTCAAGTGCCTTCTGGGCTTTTCGTGTGTGTGTGTGTGATTTCTATCCTCCTCCCTGCCAACCCCCCCATCTTTCTCACACACACAGACACACACGTACACACAGCTTCCTGTGCTTGGCGGCCCCTATCTTTCACAGAATTACTGTATTCCTATTAATCTTGGGTTCAGTTGGGATTTCCATTTTTTAAAAACAAAATCCTAAATCTTGTATTTATTTATTATTTTTGGCTGCACTGGGTCTCTATCGCTGCTCGAGGGCTTTGCTCAAGTTGCGGTGAGCGGGCTTCTCTCGTTGCAGAGCACGGGCTCTAGGCGCTCGGGGTCAGTAGCTATGTCACGTGGGCTTAGCTGCTCCAGGGCATGCGGGATCTTAGGGAACCAGGGATCGAACCTGTGTCTCCTGCACTGGCAGGCGGATTCTCAACCACTGGACCACCAGAGAAGTCTGAAGTTTCCATCCCTTGGTCTTGGCCACCGCCTCTCATCAGGGAGATTTATTTGTCCCTTTTCCTGGAGTTCGGTGGGAACCTGAGGGCCAGTCAGCCCCTTTGCTCTTGACCTTGCCCTAGGAGCTTTCTGAAATATGGCCTTCCAGGCTGTTAGGAGAGCACAGCAAAAGAGAGTTTGGAAAGAGAATTAAAAAACAAACAAACAAAAAACCATGATCCTTGAGTATTCCTGAGAGGATCTCCTGGCAATACAACCAGTCATGCAGTGTCTCAGAACTAGAGAGCAGAGGGCGGGCTCCTCGCCCTTGAGAAGAGAGAAAGCGAGTGATCCAGAGATGCTTCTTGCACAGGGCTCTTCCCCGGGGTTTTCCCGGGGTGCGGGGGCAGGGAGGGAATTGGGGCTGTCAGATTCACTTTATCTTCCCCACTCTGTTTCCAGAACCTCACCTTTCTTCCCGAGTTCCCTCCTCCGCTTTCAAAAGCATATGTGACCCCATGCCCGTTCCTTTCTCTTTAGGTCACCAGATTCTTTTATGGGGTTGGCAGCGATGCTCTGATAGCCCCGGGTCCTGTCGGGGCATGTGAGTGGCGCTGGGGCTGAGGTTCGCCGGCTTCTACACTCAGGGGGATTTGAAAGTGTCTTAGGACTGGCTCTTCCTCTCCCCTCCCTGCCGGACACTCAGGGACCAGGAAGGTGGAAGGGAGCTCTTCTTTACCCAAGAGAAGAAAAGCCGCCCGATTGCCCCAGCTACCCACACTTCGCTCTCAGCTTCCCTTCCTCATGCCTCCAGCCACTCCCGGAGTCTGAAGCGCTAGCCCAGTTTGAAACACCCCTCCCGCTTTGAAGGAGGCTGGGCTGGCCGGGGGGTTATTTTGGGAGCAGCCTCTGAGATCCAATGGCCTTGTTAGGGCAACACTGACCTTTCCATCCCAGGAGGAGGGTAGGATTGGAGGGGGGCGGGGCAGGGCGCGGAATCACAGCCCGGCACACCCAGGGGGGTTGGAGGAGAAGGGGGCCAGCCGGCTGCCGGAATTCAGCCTCTGGGCTGGGGGCTGTCACCAAGGAAAAGTTTTCCTTTTTGAAGACGGACTGGTGATCCCTCCACCCCATCCCTCCCATTGCACTTCTTAAAGGGATCACAGCGCTTTTCCCTTTGACTCCATGGAAGCCAGGTTGGGCACACTCCGTGGAGACTTCGAACCTTTCCTTCCCACTTCCTCCTCGGCTGGCAGCCTTCCTCTGGCCGACTGAGTGGGGGCCTCCCAGGCATGGCACTGACCGCCCGACCCAGTGCTGACTTGGCTCCTGGGTTCCTGCAGCCTAAGTTGGCATCTCGCTTCCCCCCTCCCGGGGCGCGGTGAGTCAAGGGGGCGCCCAGCCCTGAGCTGCTTGGAGAGAGTTGCTGGCACCCCCTCTCCCCATCACCTTCTCCCCCAAAGCTGGAGAACGGTGAGGAGGTCGGGGGCTACGATGAGATGAGCGGGGGTCGCTTTGACTTTGATGATGGCGGGGCGTACTGCGGGGGCTGGGAGGGGGGCAAGGCGCACGGGCACGGCCTGTGCACGGGCCCCAAGGGCCAGGGTGAATACTCGGGCTCCTGGAACTTTGGCTTTGAAGTGGCGGGTGTCTACACCTGGCCCAGCGGAAACACCTTCGAGGGATACTGGAGCCAGGGCAAACGGCACGGGCTGGGCATAGAGACCAAGGGACGCTGGCTCTACAAGGGCGAGTGGACACACGGCTTCAAGGGACGCTACGGGACTCGGCAGAGCAGCAGCAGCGGTGCCAAGTATGAGGGCACTTGGAACAACGGCCTGCAGGACGGCTATGGCACCGAGACCTACGCGGATGGAGGTGAGCCCGGCCTGCAGCCTGCAGACCTGGGGAGGGGCCGGCTGGGGTGAGGAAGGTGGTGGAGGGTGGGGCAGGAGGGGCCAGGATATGATTTGCTGTGTGGCATTGGGCAAGCAGCTCCACCTCCCTCTGCATCCATTTCACTGTCAGGAAAAGTGAAGCCAATAACGGAGCTGTCGAGAGAATTGGCAGACATGCTTGGTATGAGGCCTGCCATAGAAACACACATTCAAGACACATTCAATAAGACACCATTGCGACTGCGGCAGGCTAGGTGTACAAAGAGCTCTGGAATTTACTCCAGAAGAATTGGTATCTAATGTCAACTTTGCCATGAAAGTTATTTTCAGCCAGTAGATCATGAAGTGTTCATTCATTCATTCATCTATCCACCCCCCACCCACTTACCCATTTACCCATCCATCCATCCACCCACTCAGTCATCCACCCACTCATCCACCCATCCATCTATCCATCCATCCTTCTATCCATCCATCCATCTATCCATCCAAGCATACTTTTGTTCAGTGACTATTTCTGTAGTACCACTTATTCACCAGGCATTGTAAAAAGGGTTAGAGGTAGAGAGAAATAGAATAGAGTCCATGGGTTCAAAGATAGGCTTGCAGACAAACAATTATATGCAAGTATTCACGGAGTGCTGTGGCAGAAAAGGGAAGTTAGGTCTGAGGAGGTCAGGGGAGGCTTTAGAGGAGAAGACATTGGAACTGCATCTTGATGGGAAGAGTGTGTTTGTGAGGCTTGTAGACAGTGGCCTCAGGTACAGGACAGGCTCCTGGCTGGGTTACCTACTGCTGGATATCTGGTGAGGGCTCAACCTCGAATGCACCTGGACATTAACAGGTTGTGAACAGAGTTTTCGTGGCACAGTGGCTGGCTGGAATTGGACAAAATCTGGCTCCACGTTTCCTAATTTGGTGACTTTGAGCTGTTTTTGGAACCTCTGCAATTCAGTGCAATTCAGACATTTATACTGGTCACTGCGCAGAGCACTGGGGACGAGCAGAGAGCAAACCTCACATGTTCCAGTTACCAAGTGGAGATAGTTCCTGCAGGCTTGCAGGGCATCAGTGAACCAGGCAAAGTGGTGCCAATATGCATGTGCAGAAAGTTCCTTCCCTCCCCTCCCCTGTTCCTCCTCCCCTCACAGTGTGTGTGTGTGTGTGTGTGTGTGTGTCTTGCGAGCATGGATGTGAGTCACAGGGACACAGCAATATTTCTGGGAAACTACAGGCTGATATCCCAGTGTGTCTAAAACAGGGAAAACCCATTCATTCCTTCACAGAGCACCGGTGATGTGTCAGGCGCCCTCCCGCAGCAAGTCCCAGGGTCCGAGGCAGTGAGCAAGCGAAGTCCTCAGGAAGCTCCCTGTCTAGTGAAGAAAACAGAAAGAAACAGGAAAACAGACACAGATGCAATTTCCAAAAGTTACCTGTGTTACGGAAAAACTAGCAGAGAGGGAAGAGGGTGATTTTTTTGGGAGGGCGGGTGTCTGAGCACTAGGGTGGGGAGGATGGGAGAAGGAAGGAAGACCCCAGGCAGAGGGAATGGCGATAACAGAGGCTCTGAGGCGGGCCTGGGCTTGGCATGTACGAGGAACAGCAAGAACGCCAGGGTGGTGGGAGAGGTGTGAATGAGGGGCACAGGCTGGGCTGCCAGGGCTGCCCAGATGTGGGCACGGGCCAGGGCACCAAGGTTTGCAGGGCCCGGGGTTTTAGCCTAGGTGTGTCCAGGAGCCCTTCGGGCCAGGTCATAGGGAGGTCTGCCCCTCTGGTTTGTCAGAAGCCCAGATTCTCCTCTCGGATGAGACAGCCTCACATCCTGGGGGTCTGGAAACCTCAGAGATCCTCTCCCTCAAGCGCAACCCTCCAAAATTAGATGTGGCCACTGCTTCGGAAAATCTCTTTAATCAACCTGTCATCAGTTTTCCCAGGGGTTGTTAAGGACCTGCCCTTTGCCCCATCCTGGGTAGCACTGAGGGGAATGTGGACAAATAAGATCCTGGGATTAGGGACGGCTGGGAGCTGGGCAGCCTTGGATCACCACCGTGCCCCTATCGTATTCTCTTGTCTCTTGGAGTTTCAGTTTCCTCATCCCTAAGATGGATTTATACTAACCTCTCCTAAGCTTTCTCATGGGATGAATGTGCAGTTGCCATTATCACTAATTCATTCAGGAAATATTTATTGAGTGATTATTAGGAAGTCAGCACTGGGTCTGCTGTGGAGGGGGGGGGGAGGCAGATGGGGAGAGTGTAGAAATGAACAGGATGGGCGAGATCACCCTGCCTTCCAGGGAATGTAGAAAAAATTGTGTTGGGCGCAAAGCAGGGACATGCTGGGGGCTAAGCGAGCAAGAAGCAGGTGGCTAACCAGACTGGGGCAATCAGGGAGGCTTCCTGGAGGAAGTGGCAAGTGGGGCTCTGAAGTACAAAGTGAGCCAGAGTCAACGGTGGAGGACGCGTGCTCCGGGTGCTGAGAACAGTGTACAGAGACTGAGGCCTAAGCTTGCTGCCCAGCAGAGATCAAGCTGAGATTTGTGTCTTAGTTTCAGTTTGAGAAGCATTGATCAAAGTGACATCACGGCGGCTTTCCTCTATTCCTTGGCTTACCTTGCAATCTGATGCTACAGGTGTCTGCCTGCTCCAAACCAAAGTGTAGCTTTCCAAACTGGGGGTGTCGACCCATTGGCCAAATCAACTTAGTGGGTCCTGACCTGCATTTTAAAAGAAATGAAAGAATAGAACAGAAGAGAATAGAAAGTATCAGAGTGTTTCATAGAGAATGAGATTAAAGTATTGATCCCTGAAATGCTTGTTAAGTTGGAGATTATATATATATATATATTTGTGTATCAAAACATGTTTATGTGTATATCATGATTCAAATGTATTTTTTGTTGCAGATCACGGTAAAAATATAGGAATGTTACTGTTCTAAAGTGATTTGACCTGACATCTTCATGGCTGCCCCCGTCATTCCTAAACCCACAGACCTTCCCTCTCCTCCTCTGCTTGTCACTTTGGCTGGAAGTTCCAATTCTCTGATGGGAAGGGGAAGGTAGTCCAGGCACAGGAGTCTTCCAAACCCTGCCCTAAGCCTCCTGGCACCCCTCCCCCATCTATAGCCCCACATTCCTCCCCTGGCCATATATAGCAAAGCTAAAAATAGCTGCTGACTTAAAGCCCAAAGCCAGCACACCCAGCCCTTAAGTAGTAATCCACAGCTGCATGGCTGCCTGGCGGTTCCCACCCGAGACCCACAGACTCCAGGACTAGAAGGGCCATTAGTGATCTTGGTTTTCCTCCAATCTTGACCTGGGCCTGAGCCTAAGATTCCAAGGCCCACAAATGGGCTGCAACTGTAGGACTCTGCATGGATTCTGTGTTTCTCTGGAAGGTATTTCCTGCAAGAGCCATCAGATTCTACAAGTAATCTGGTGTTCAAATAAATTCCAGGATGATGGATCTAATTCAATAATCCCCTCCCCAAAATGTGCAGCAGGAAAAACCAAGCCCAAGGTTGACTTTTTTTTCCCCCTAAAGCTAATAATAGTTAACATTTTTGGAGTATGAACGATGTGCCTGGTGCTGGTCTGGGCACGTGGCAAGTGTTGTGTTACTTAAACTTTCACAATAACCTTATGGGGAAGTACTATTATTACCCTATTTTATAGATGAGGAAACTGAGATTGACAGTCCTCTAATTGATAAGAGGCCGAGATGGAATTTGATCATCATAAGTGACAATTAAATATTTTATGTTGTAAATCAGCATTTTAATAAATGATAAACAACTATGCAAAATAATCAAGCCTGGCTACATACTTTAGGGACACGGTGCAAAACAAAAATGTGGGGCCCCTTCTTCAAAATTAAGAATTTCAAGATGGTGACATCAGAGCCTTAAGCCAAGTTCAGGGCCCTTCTGAGCACAGAGTCTTGTGTGACTGTACAGGTTGAATGCCCAGGAAGCTGGCCTTATCAAGACCAAGTAGTAACAACTGTCTTCACCACCATTTGTTGAATCTCTACTAGTTTTTATTTTTTGGCTCCACTGGGTCTTACTTGTGGCACTCGGGCTTAGTTGCTCCAAGGCTTGTGGGTTCTGAGCTCCCCAACCAGGGATAGAGCCTGTGTCTCCTGCATTGGGAGGTGGATTCGTAACCACTGGACCACCAAGAAGTCCCGAATCTCTATTAGTTTTTACCAGGCTCTGTGACAGTAGTAATAACCATCTCTACCATTTATGGAGTCTTTACTAGTCTTTATCAGACTCTGTGCTAAGAATCATACATGTATTATATTGTTGAGGCTTCTTAATTCTCTCTTCTACACTAGTGGATTTCAACTTTTTATAATTATAACCCACTTTAACATATGTATTTTCTATTATAATTCTGTGCATATATATACAAATGTAAGACTGAAACAAGTAATCATGAAATAATATTTCTCTCCCTATATGCTATACTTGCTATTTTCTTTTATGTGATCTCATTGATAGAATTGGGCGTCCCTGGTGGCTCAGCTGGTAAAGAATCCACCTGCAATGCGGGAGACCTGGGTTTGATCCCTGGGCTAGGGAGATCCCCTGGAGAAAGGAAAGGGTACCCACTTCAGTATTCTGGCCTGGAGAATTCCATGGACTGTACCGTCCATGGGGTCACAAAGAGGCGGACACGACTGAGCAACTTTCAACTGATAGAGTTGTTATTTTCTCTTTTTGAGAGAATTAAATGATGCATTGTTATACATTAAATACTTAGAATTAGGCATGTGGTTAGTGCTTTGATTATTATTATTATTACATGCTGAAATGATGATGTTTTTATGTTTAAGTATGACAACTGAGTCAAAAATGAAACCTTCTATGCTCTGGGTACAGATTTCTTTGTTCTTCCCAATGCTGATGGCTTCAGCTCATTTTAGCCTGACTGTCTCTGAACATGGGAGCTAAATGAATTTGCCAAGCTGGAGC